ATGGTTTCCCTATCCTCGTCAGCCTTAGGGATAAAACCATTCTTGTGCAAAGTGCCCAAGGAAATCAAATTCTTCTTCAAGTCTGGGATATATCGAACACCACTCAACGTCCGAACGAAGCCATCGTGCATCTTAATTCTGACATCACCAATACCAACAATATTGCAACATCGATCATCACCCAAATAAACCGAACCAGAATTAACCGACCTGTATGTCGAAAACCATTCCCTATTTGGCGTGATGTGATAAGAACATCCAGAATCAAGAATCCAAGCATCCGTCAATTGTGTCGTTGAAATAGAAAGCATATCACCCTCACTGCAATCAGAATTATCATCCTCGACCACGTTCACAGACTTGGATGAGCCATCACGCTTCTCATCAGTCTGCTTTTTCAACTTCGGACAGTCTCGCTTCATATGTCCCGCCTCCTTGCACTTGTAACAGTGAATCTTCTTCTTATCCCTGGATTTGGATCTGGAATTCCGCTTCCCGGACCCTGCCTTCTCTGGCTTCCGTCCACGATCTCGATTACCCTTGACATATAAGCTATCGGCTTGAGAGCTTTCCCCTGCATTCTGCTTCCGCTGGTTGTGAGCCAACAAGGTTGCAGTAATCTCCTCAACATTGATAGTCTCTTTCCCATATGTAAGAGTAGTCACCATGTGTTCGTAAGAGGGAGGCAACGAACACAACAGAATCATCGCTCTGTCTTCATCCTCAATTTTCACATCAAGCCGAGCCAGATCAGAAACGATTTGATTGAAGACATTCACGTGTTGCGCCAAATCGTGATCGTCCTGCATCTTCAGCCCATACAGCCGCTACTTCAGATACAGTTTTGTCGTTAAGGATTTGGACATAAACTGACTTTCCAACTTCCTCCAAATTTCGTCTGGAGACGATAGATGCATGACGTGATACATAACCTCGTCCGCCAAGCATAATCATATGGTTCCTGCCGCTCGCTGCTGCAATTCTTCCCAATCTTCCTCATCCATCGACGCCGGCTTTGTAGGTCGCAAAGCCTTCAAGATCCCTTGCTGCGCCAATAGATCCTTCACCCTCGTTTGCCATAATCCGAAGTTACCCTGACCATCAAATTTCGCGACTTCGAATTTTGCTCCTGACATCTGATACCAATTGTTGACGAAAACGGATAAAGAAAACGAAAGAACACGAGAATTTTACGAGGTTCGGCAATGTGCTTACGTCCTCGGTGCCTAGGCGGCGCTAGAAGTTTTATTCAATGATATTTTAGGTCTAGGTTACATCTCTATTTATAATAGAAAACCCTGGTACATAATTACAAAATTAACCCTGTACCGTACCGCGGGGGTTGCGCCCCCGCACCCCCCAACCCACATAATTCGTAACCCCACAACGAGACTTTCTTTGTAAGGACAGTTGATGTTCGCTGCGTTCGCTTCGCTCACTCCGCTCCATCTCATGTCCTCTTTACTGGTATATTTATGAGCCATACCTAACAGTTATTTTCTCAATCCTCAATTTCAATTTGGGGTGGAGCATTCTGATAATGTATTGATAGAAACATTAGAAGGTACAAGATCAATAATTGAAAGATTAGAACCTTCTCTTGATACTCAAGTCAGAATGAGTAATCAAGTTAGATTCAAATATTATTATTTTTAACTTTGTTACATAATTTGAAAATGTTTTTTTCTTCATTTTACTTTATCTTTTATTTATGCAGTTGTTAACATTTCGAGATAAACATGAGACATTCGACACTTCACAAGCATAGAGAGCATGGAGGCAAATGAATACGAGTAAATAGTTAACTAAATTATTTAAGTTATATTATTTAGTTATATTGTACATTTTTAAGTTATTTTAAAATTTTAAATATTATTTTGCAGCTGGGTGGTGGATAATATATAGCACATGTATTCCTGAGTTACAAATATTAGTAATTAAAGTGCTTAGTCAAACAATTTCTCATCAAATTGCGAACGAAATTGGAGCACATTTAGCTATATTCACACCAAGGCAATAAATAGGTTGAAGTATAAAAACTTGAGAAACTAGTGTTCACCTACTACAATATGAGGCCCCATATATATCAGAAAAGAATGAGCATCGATGATAAACACTAGTTTTAATCCTATCAACCTTGATCATATCTTTGAAGATGTTGATTCATTATAAGAATGGCTTCAAGAGAAAGAGAATCTATAGTTAGATGGTGAAATTGTCGGTGTGTTGACTGTAGATACCTCAGATGATGAAACGAATATTGATGAATCTCAACAACAAAATTTGGCTAATTCTAGTGCAACACCAAGTCAAAGTGGTTATGAACTTGATGGTGGTGGTTTAAGTCCAATTGATGATGATGATGATAGTGGTGGTGGTGGTAGGGATGAAATTAGGTCTTATAGTCAATATAGAAGAAAATATGGGGTTGGTACCACTAGTGGACATTTTGTGATAGATTAGAATTTGGTGGAAATATATCTCCGGAAGCTAGAAGAGATAGAAGTGAACCTAAAGCTCCATCAAAAGGAAAGTGTAAGAAGCATACTTCTGTAGGATCTTCATCTGGTAGAAGATCAAGTTCTAATAACCTTGGACAGAGAGATTCATCTACTACCACACAAGGTTTTTATCCACCAGAACAATTTTCATATTTCCAATTTTCATATGGTTATCCAAAACCATATGGTTATTATCCATCATTTTCTAATTATGGTGTGCCATATTAACCTCAAATGCATCCTCCATCACCAATGCATCACCCACTTCTACCTCTCATGTTTTTTTTTGAAATATATGTTTTTTAAAACATTTTTTGTCAATGTTTTTAATTTTAATGATACTAAACATTTATATCTTCTTCCTCAATTTTAATGTTTGACATACTATTTTCATTGTTGCAGTGAATTGGATTCTCTCATATTTCTTAAATTACTCTACTTTAATGAGTACAAAGCCAAATTGATTCTATGCATTTCATTGAAATGATGTCACTTAACTTCCCAAATGCATCCAAAGATAGGTAAGTAATTTGTTCTTTTGTAGTTTTAAGATTTAAATAAATATTTATTTCTTTAGTAACATCCAATTGTTGCATTGAAAACTTTCTACAGCCCTATTCCATGTTGAACTCGATTTTAAAAACTATAAATCAAAATCAACAGTAGAAGAATCAAACATTTGTGTGGTCATTTTAAAGAAAAAAAATGTTCTTTAACATTGTTCTTAGCTTTAGTTCAATTTTGTGGAGTTGATGTGCTCTTTCTATAAAAATTTTTTGGCTCATGTTGGAGTTAGAGTTTTTTCTATGCATGGGAAGTTGTTGAGGTTTCATGTTGATTTTAGGCTAGCTTTGAAAAGAGAAGTATGATTAAGGATAAGTGAATTAAATTAGTCATAATTTAATATTTCTTTAAAAAAAAATTTATCTCAACATCAAGGTAGATTTTTGGTGCATGATATCAAATCTAAGGTTTCTTAAAACGAATCATTTAAGGTTCTACAAATTAATAGGTGCCTTTTTTAGGTATGCCTTTTAATTATTTTATCGATATTTTATTGATAGAAACGTACAAACTTATTAAGTGTGATGAATGTTTAATATTTTCTATTTTTTATTTGTTATGAGTTAGTATAATATTCTTAAGAAATTTATAATTAAATACAAAAATAATTAATTATGGTAAAAATTGTGTTTATGTATTAATAAAAGTCTATAAGTGTTGGAAAATATTCTAAAAATCATTAAAAGTAATTTTCTGTAATTATAATTATAATTATTATATTTTATAATAAGTTGTGTGAATTTTAAAAAATTCACGTTTGCAATAGCGTCCGTTACGTCCGCGACCGCAATCGTAATTTGAATCCCTAGTTGATTGGATAAATAGATCTAACTGTCATATAGTAAATTCAACTGATCACATGAGCTTGTTAGTCGTTATGTTAAGAGTTTGTAGCTGACTAGATGATATGTAACTCTGGATGCTTCGATAGGTAAAGGAATGACAACAAATGTATAACTTACAGAAGAGATCCAGAAAAGTTACAACAACATTGAATCTTTTGAATGTCTAAGATTTAAATATTAATATATTCTTATTAAAAAATATATATTAATATATCATAAATAAAATAAATTAAAATAATAAGTAATTCAAATTAATTAATAAATTAAATATTAAAAATAACAATTATACACAAATTTAACTTTTAGTTTCTTTAGAAAATTCCCGACTTTAATTTGATTGATATTAGATTAAGAAACACATTTTTTTTTAGTTTTTTCTCTTAGTTTTCTTTAATTGGTAAGTCGTTTATTTTTTTTTGTCTTTGTTGATAGGCGGCAGCACCAACTTTAATGTTGGTTGTCGACCACCATTTTTCTCTATTGTTTTTATTTTCTTTTATTTTTTTCAATAAATTTGTTTGTATGATACGTTTTCATATGTCTTTATGGTACGTTTTCTTCTGTCTTTTGGCATGTTTTTCAGTAGTTGGCCATTGTTTCTATTTATATTTTCCTAAGGGTTGATTTGACATTGCCACGACTGATCAAGATGGTGTTTGTCTGTTATATTGTTGATCTTCCCTGTTTTGGACCATTGGATTAAATTTGGATACCCGTTATGCGATCGTTGATAACTTTCCACGTCACTCAAGTCTCATTTGTGGTTTATCAATTGTATTTTAATAGCTTGATTTCTTTTTGTGATTTGTTTACCGATGCGATCAAATCTATTTGTATCTATATTTGTTCGAGTTTTCTAGATTAGATTTTAATCTTTTCTTATATGATCTTTATGTGATATCAAGTTGTTAGTTTTATTTTAATGATTATAAAAAATTATTCTAATTATATATTTAATTACGATTATGATTATAAATTTTTATTATAATTTAAGTTATTTTTTATTTTAAATAAAATTAGCGATTAAAAAAAAAAAAATTCCCGACTTTAGCACATCGCCCCTCCCCGCTCCCGGACTCTTCTTTCTCCTCTTCCTCCAGTCACCTGACCCAATCCCTCCCTTGCCGTCATGTTTTCAACCAAAGACCAAGAAATTAAATAAGGTAATTTTCAAAACCCTATACTTAACTTGAACATACTTAACTCATGAGATTTTGAGTTATGTCTTGGTTTGTGTTATCTGGTCCATGGCTCTGCCTCTGCTTCACTCGGCTATATTTGTTTCTCTGTTTTCAGTCCTACTTATTTTTCCTGTCTCATCTAATATTTTTTTTCTCTCTGTTTGCATTGCTAGAGATGATGTCGTCTTTGGATGGCTCACACAACCATCAACAGTCTGGTTAGTTCCTTTTGTGTTTTTGTTTGTTTTGATTTTGTGTCACAACATTTGTCTTACACTCCAAAAATGAAAAAAAAGTATGGTGTTTGAGGCAGTAATATTCTTAAATACCTTTCTCAGTGTCATTGATATTTTATGTGATCTGCTAATATGGATATAGATATAATTATGTGTGACCTATCAGGCACTGAGAATAGTTTGGATTCAGTTGCTGATGTGGACTGGTATATACTTGGTGAAGATCAACAAAATATTGGCCCTTATTCAGTTTCTGAGTTACGTGGTAAGTTTTGTACTTGACCCATTTTTTTAAGTCATTATCAGCATTCGAAGTATGGAATAATTGTTTTGAGCTATGTGCCAATGTATCACAGATTGCATTAGAAAAAAAAAATTAGAGATTTTTTTCTAATTGTTAGTGTGAGTTTTAAGAAGTTGTTTGGTTTGTGGAGTACTGCAAATTTACTGGTGATTTTCTCTCTCAAATTTCAGTTCCAGTAATCAATAGCATGGTTTCAGGACACTTGTTCCATCTGTAACATGTTCAATTGGTCTAATGAGCTATTGAACAGATTGCTTTTCTTATTTGCTTTGCCTGCACAGAGCATTTTTTAAATGGATACCTCTCCGTAACCTTGCATGGTCTGAGTGGAGAAGTCAGTGCAACCATTGTCCTCAATTCCTGAATTTTTTTTGTAATTTCTCATCAGGCCAATAATTTTTCTGCTGCAGGTTAAATTATCTACGGGTTGTGCTTTTTATGATTTATAAATAATTAGAACCTTTATCTCCTACTGAGGTTTTCACTTTTGATGTTTACAGTGTCCTCAGGAGGCGGTGTTGCTCTTTTGAACAGTATGGAGGGTGAAAAATCAAATGCAGGTTGATATGTATTTTATGTTTATTGCAAAACTACAGTTAGAAAAGATGAGAGAGAGTGTTAGGGAGAAAGTGGGAGAGAGAGAGAGGTTTTCAGTTGGTCAGTCTTCCGGTGAGGAGTGGACTGTTTTCGTTGACAATCTGAGTAAAAGGGTAACTAGGAAAACTCTTAAGGAAATTTTTCATCAACAGGGGAGTGTTGTTCGTGTCTACATCCCGAATAATTCCAACAAGCCGAATTATAGAAATTATACGTTTGCTTTCGTCCAGTTTGCAAAGGAGGATGGGTTGTTGAAGGCGATAGCAAATATTAATGGTATCTGGATTGATGGTAAGAAAATCTCAGTAGGAGTTGCTAAGTACCAGAAGAAGAGACTAAAGCAGGCTGTTAGAAGTAACGACAGTAAGGAAGTAGATAAGTGGAAAAAGGATACGTATCGGAGTAGAAGAGCTGGATCAGAGTCTTATAGCCGACTGAGAGATGAGAGATCTTACAAGGATGCGTTAGCATCTTTGGATGGAAGGAGAGAAGGTCCGGTGTCTAAAGTGATTTGGGAAGGCCATAAAGACAAGGAAGTAGGGGTGAGGAATTTGTGGGAAATGCATATTCCCCCAGACGAATATGATTGGGTGAAAAGATCAATAACTGGGATCATTAAATCCCATTTTGATCTAGGGACAGTAGTGAAGGGGTTGGCTAGTGAAGGGATCAAGGTCAAAGGAACTAAATGGGGTTATACCTGGAACTCTTGCATTATAACCTTTGGGTCGAAGGAAGAGTTCGAGGAGGCGTGGAAAAATAGAAGGGATGAAGTGTCACTTTGGTTCGACTGGCTTGATCCACTTATGAGTGTAGATGGAGTCCCGATGGCTTTCTGTTCAGTGGTGTTGTATGGAATCCCTTTACTATGTTGTAATGTATCTTTTTTGGAAAAGCTGGTCTCAAGGTGGGGGAAATTGGTGTGTATTCATGAGTCCACGATCAGAAGAGAGGATTTGGCGGTGGCAAGAGCTTTGTTGAGGGTGGCGAGTCCTTATGATATACAGGATTCTGTTACCTTGGGTGCATATGGGAGATCGTATAAGGTTAAGATTAGTGTGGGATCGGTCAGTTCTAAACAGGAAAGGTTTTTTGCAGAAATTCTTCAGGTGGCCGGAGATGGTGTGTCTAGAGTTGATTCTTCATCGGAAGAGAAAGAAGTCCGGAGTTCAAGTGGAGAAGGCAGCCCACAATTGCCAGCTGAGAATTCTAGGGACACAGTAGACAGATGGTTGGTAGGTGATGTCTGCACAACAGTGGCAGGCGGCAGTGGAAGTAAACATTTAATGTTGCAGGATGGAGAAAGTCAACCTAGTGGTGCTAAGGTGTCAGGTTTTTTCTGCAGAAGATTTGAATTTTAAAGAGGACTATAGGGGCCTTGGTCTAAGAAATGTCTCTATTAATGAATCTGAAGAAGCCCATTTAGAGGGCTCGAGTGAGTCTAATACAAATATCTACAGAATAGTACCTTTTGGGCCAGCTGTTAATTTATTAAAACTGGGATATGGTAACCGTTTGGAGTCTCGGGTGGAATTGGCAGTTCTCAACAGCAATCTGATTCGGATAAACTAAAGGTGCAGAATTGGGCTAATGTCTCGGCAGACTTAAATCCAAATTTGTTGCCTGCTGGGTCTTCACAATCTAATAGGGAGTATGATTCACCAGCTAATAATTTAATTCCAGTGGGGCATGTTGTTAAATTAAGTAGGGTGAAGGCTCAAGGAGAGTTTCAGCATACTGTTTTGGTAGACTCAAAACTGCAGAATTCGAATACTGATTTGTCAGGTTACAAACATATTTCGATTGAGGGTGGGTTCATTGATAGAGTACAGTCTCAATCTGAAGGGATTCCAAATAAGCCAAATAAGGATCTGTTAGAGGAAGTAGTAGTCTTGGAAAATGACGATTGTAGGGGGGTTGGAACTGAACTGATTAGGGAAAGAGGCAGATCGCTGTTCCAGCATAGAAGAACACTTTGTCCCAAAAGTTTGCCCATAGAGAGGAGGAGAATGGCCAGCTATAAAAGATATTATACCAGGTCGAGGTTGAGAATTAACTGGTTTGAGAATAAACACAAAGGTATTCCGGTTAGAAAGGATTTGCAGCCTCCTTCAATAAATATGGAAGGTGGAAGGGAAGAGATTTTTAATGGTGCAGCTGGTGATCAGAACCCTTATGTGGCACCAACTAATTGTAATAGTTCTTCGGAGGTCTTGGCAGTAGTTCCTTTCTCTGCTGTAGGGTCAGGAAGGGCTAAAAGAAGGGAGAGAAGAGTTTTAACAAGGGAAGCAGTTGATATGGTTAATTCTCCTTTTGTTTTTACTCCTCAGTTCTCGAAGGCGGTGGAGGAAGTGATGGTTACATGGGAAGTATGTAAAGTTCTAGGAATTTCATTCAAAGATGGGAAGAAGGCTTTTTTGGACAAAATTATCAACCTTGAAGAGGGTTCGGCTGAGAGTAGGGAACAGGGGAAGTCAGGGGTTTAGTCCCTATTTCTCTGTTGACTAGCTAAAAGGATTTGGTGTAGATCTTCTTGTTATGATAAATGTCAACATTATTTCTTGGAATGTAAGGGGTCTTGGAAAAAAGGAAAAGTCAAGAGTTGTAGCTAATTTGGTGAAGAAGAATAAGCCGAACTTGATTCTAATTCAAGAAACAAAACTAGAAACTGTTTCTTTGGCTCTTAGAAGAAGGATAGGGGGGAGATTCCTTAAAGGAGGGATTGTTGCGCCAGCAGTGGGATCTGTTGGTGGATTGATGATTATGTGGAATGAAAATGATTTTGAAGTCTCGAACAGCCATCTTAATGGCAGATTCATAGCAGTCTTTGGGAAGTTCAGAAATTCAAGTGAAGAGTGTGTGATTATCAATGTATACGGTCCATCAATTGAAGCAGAAAAGGAAGATTTTTTCAGGGAATTGTTGGAGTTTGTTTCGGCTCAAAATATGTTAGTGTGTATTGGGGGAGATTTTAATGTGTATCTTGATCCGATGAGAAGTTGGGAAAATCACAAAACTGGCATTCTATTGATTTATTTAGAAACTTCTTACAGCAATCACATTTAATTGATCTACCTTTGGTGGGAGGAAGGTATACTTGGTGCAATAATAGAGAAGACTCGACTTGGGAAAGACTAGACAGGTTCTTAATCTCTGGGACGTTTCTGTCATGTTTTCCAAATGTAGTGCAAAGGCTCTTGCCTAAATCACTATCTGATCATAATCCAGTCTCATTAGAGGACAAAGCTGTTAATTGGGGACCGAAACCATTCAGATTTTTTAATTATTTACTAGAGGAGGAAGGATTTGAGGAATTGGTTAAGTCTTCAATGGTTGTTATGAGGGGGAGAAATAATAGAAGGGGTATATTCAGTATCTTAAACGGAACTAAAAATTCAATCAGAAATTGGTCCAGCAGTAAATTTATTGGGATTCCTGAGTCGATTTTTGACTTAGAGAGGAATATTAATGAATTGGATCTTAAAGCTCAAGGTGGAATTCTTTCGAAGCAGGAGTGGGATCAGTTGAGGCTGTGTAGGACAAATCTATGGAGGTTGTATAGGACAGAAGAAAGCATCTGGTTTCAGAAGTCAAGGGCTAGATGGACCAAGGAGGGGGATAGGAACACAAGGTTTTTCATCTGTTTGCTCTGAACAGAAGCAAAAGAAATGAAATCTTAAGCTTGAAGATAAATGGGAGTGTGGTTTCAGATCCTCAACAATTAAAGGTACATATTTCAGAATTTTTCAAGGCAGCCTATAATTCCAATTCAACACTGGAAACGGAGGATTTACTACTGGATTTTGCTAAGCTATCAGGGGATCAGTCTAAGAAGCTTGAAGAGCACTTCTTAGAACAGGAAATTTGGCAAGCTATAGTTTCATCAGACAGCTCTAAAGCTCCAGGACCAGATGGTTTCACCATGGGTTTCTTTAAAAACTGCTGGCCGATTTTAAAGGAGCACGTGTTGAAATTTTTTGAAGATTTCTATTTTGGAAGGAAATGGGAGCATGGTATAAACCATGCTTTTATCACACTTATTCCGAAGAAGCTTAATCCGGACAGTGTAGAGGAATTTAGACCAATCAGCCTTGTAGGCAGCTTATACAAGATCCTTTCTAAAGTTCTATCGAAGAGACTGAGTTGTTGTGTTGGTGATATTATTAGTCACTCTCAGTTTGCTTTTATACCGGGGAGACAGTTGCTGGATTGTGCTTTTATAGCAAACGAAGGGATTGATTACTGGAGGAGAAAGGGTTAAAAGGGTTGCCTTCAAAGTAGATTTTCGTAGGGCTTATGATTCCGTGGAATGGCCAATTTTAATCAGAGTAATGTCAGAGATGGGTTTTGGTAAGAGATGGTTGTCGTGGATACTCAGTGTATTTCAACAGCTTCAATCTCGGTTCTCGTAAACGGGTCTCCATCGGAAGAGTTCCCCATGGCCAAAGGACTTAGGCAAGGGTGCAGTTTATCTCCGCTACTGTTTAACATTGTAGGTGAGCTGCTTAATTTGATGATATCTAAAGCAGTGGATAGGGGTCTGTTTCAAGGCTTTGTTATTGGGGAATCTGAAAATTCTGTTCGATTGTCACATCTACAATTTGCAGATGACTTGATCATCTTCTGTCAAGCATCTCTCTCCCAGATTAAAAATGTCAAGAGAGTATTGAGGATTTTTAGTGTTATGACAGGGTTGCATCTTAATCTAGCTAAGAGTAAGCTATTTGGTATTAATGTGGAAGAGGAAGTTTTATCAGAATGGGCATCTTCGGTGGGATGTTCTATTGATTCCCTTCCAACAGATTACTTGGGACTTCCTCTAGGTGCTAAGAAAAACTCATAAGCCTTATGGGATCCAGTTTTCAAGAATTTTAGTTCCAAACTAGCCGGCTGGAAAGCTAATTGTCTCTCATTGGCGGGCAGGACAGTTTTATTAAAGTCGGTGTTAACATCCCTACCAATATTCTTCTTATCTCTTTTTAGAATGCCTTGTAAAATTGGTAAGAAGCTTAATTCTTTAATAGCCAGTTTCCTATGGGGGGATAATGAGGACAAAAGGAAGATACACTGGGTTAATTGGAAATCAGTCTGCAAGCCTCTAAATTCTGGTGGCCTTGGTGTTCTTGATGTGAACCTATCTAATCGGGCTCTTTTGGGAAAATGGGTGTGGAAGTTCGCCAATGAAAAAAATACTTTGTGGAAAAGTGTGTTATGTTGCAGGCACAAAGTAAGTAGTAATTCCATGTCTATTTGCAAGGTTTTTTCACCCAAATCTTCTTGGATTTGGAGAGGGATTGCCAACAATTTCCTGAAGAATGACTCGGGGGGGGGGGAACGTATCAGATCAAACTCCAAGTTGAAACTGGGAAATGGAAAGTCTATTGCATTTTGGACGGATCCATGGGCTGATGAGTCTCCTTTAAAAAATCTTTTCCCTAGAATGTATGCGTTGTCAACAAATAAATGGGGTATGGTCGCTGAGTTTGGAAGTTCAGATTCGAACGGTTGGGTGTGGAACATCGATACCAGAAGGAATTTGTGTGACTGGGAGTTGGATCAGTGGCTGGATTTAATGACAAAACTGAAGGACTTTAAACTGACTGATTCAGTTGAAGACTTTCTTTCTTGGTCTGCAAGCGGGGATGGACTGTTTTCAGTGAAATCTTGTAGAAAGGAACTCGGCAAGGTGTCTGGGGGGTCTGATTTATGGGTAAAAGGGGTGTGGCAGGGTTTATCTCCTCCTCGTGTTGAAGTCTTCCTGTGGCAGCTAGCTCATCAGAAAGTGGCAGTGAGAGAGGAGTTGGTGAAAAGAGGTTTGCAGCTAGGGGATGAAATTCTATGTCCGTTTTGTAAAAAACAGGTGGAATCAGTTCAGTATTTATTTATTTCGTGTGATGTTGTTTGGGAACTTTGGAACAAGATAGCAAGCTTTGGGATATAGCCTTAGTCCTTCCAAAGGATCCACCTTCTTTGCTATGTTCTTGGGGTGAGCTGAGGGGGAAATCGTTGATTTGGAAATTTATCCCGGGAGTAGTATTTTGGTCGATTTGGAAAGCTAGGAATGCAATGGTGTTCGAAGGTTCCCCCTTGGATAGGATGTCTCTGTTTTTTATTGCTAGATTCAGGTTATCTAAATGGTTTCTAGCCAAGTATCCTAAGTTTCCTATTCAGGAGGATGTGCTGATTGGTGATCCATCTCTTGCAGATGGTATTAAAGCTCTCAACATTAAAAATTTTCAGGTTTCTCGCTGGATTCCACCCCCTATGGATTTTTTGAAGATGAATGTCGATGGAGCTGTTAGACTAGATGGCTCAAATGGAGGTATAGGAGGTATTTTGAGAGACTGGAATAGCAACTCCCTTCTGACTTTTTTAGAAAATGTAGGTCAGGGTCCCCCGCCGGTTGCTGAGTTAAAGGCTATTAAGAGAGGCATTGAAATCTATATGTCTTCTTGTTGGGTTAAGGTTGGAAGGTTGATTGTGGAAAGTGACTGTAAGTCGGCGGTGGAATGGGTCCATACCCCAGCTTTGGCCCCTGTTTTTATCCTCCCATTAGTTAAAGAGATTTCATCTTTTATCTCGGACAGGGTGCACTCAATTAGACTGATTCCAAGGGTGTGTAATGGGGAGGCTGATCAGGTTAGCAAAGATGGGAATTGGTTGATGTTTAGTCGTTTCCAGTGCGTTGTATCGTTTGAGTTTAGGTTTTTGGTTGTCTGTTGAGTAGCTTAGTCTGTTGTGTTTTTTCAGTATGGTGTTTATGTTAAATCTTATGTAATTTCGGAGGAGTAATAAAGTTTCTAAGGCACTCTTTTCCTCCTTCTTTAATCAAGAAGGAGGTTTTTAAAGAGGCCTGTCATTCTTATAAAAAAAAAATGTTTATTGCAAAACTGACACCATCTTAAGAGGGCTTCTGACCCTATAATGTGCTGTGCAGTGCCTTCCAATGATGCAGAGGCTGAGGCAGAACGCTTGAAAAATGGATCTGTTTCTAGAAGTATTGGTGATGGCTTCTGTTCTGATGACCAAGATAGGCCTCTAACACCACCAGAAGGTGAAGAAGGATTCACTGACGATGATGGAACCAGGTACAAGTGGGATAAAAGTCTGCGAGCATGGGTTCCTCAGGTTGGTGCCTCATTCATTTTGATAAGGTGAATTTTAAACATGGTTAAACTTGGATTTTCTTTAATTGATTTATAACATTTGTCTCTATGTTTATTATTTTTTAATACTAATTGATTCATTTAACATATTTATTTCATTTAAATAAAAATTTAAAATTTCATTACTGAAAACAAATTATGACTTTATTTCTGAAAGTAATAAGTACCACATTTGTTCTACAAAAAGTGTTTGATATGATTACTGTTTAAATACTTGGATTTTCATTATTATTATTATATGTAGATAAGTTGGTCTTAGTTAGTGTGCAAGGGAGTGATTATTGAGGATATTGTCTTAATTAGTGTGCAGGGGAGTGATATTATGCACACAATCAACACCACATATTGGCTAAATTCTTAGTATCATTATTTCAGTTGAAAATTCCATCTTTATACGCTCAAAAATTTAGTTTTTAATTGTGTGATTACTGCTAATGACTAATAGGATGACACATCAACAAAAAATGGGGACTATGGAGTAGAAGAGATGACATTCTTGAAAGAAGATGACGTTTTTCCAACAATTGCTGCTGCTTCTTCTGCTGCTGCTGATGCCTCTGGTAGAGACGATGTTAATGGAAATGGTGAGCTAACGGAAGTAAGCTGTGATACCATGGGAAAACTGTTGGAAAAACCGGTTGATAAGAAGGTGACCTTTCTTAATTTGGAGTTTTTTTTTTTTTTAAAACTGTTCCTAGTTACAATTCTTTATCACATGCTGTTCCCAAGTAGCATTACAGTCATAATCCTCAATCTTTTTGTACCATTTTTATCATATTAATGTCCTTTTGGTGCAATGTTGTGTGTCCTTTTCTAAAACTAAGAAATTGCTAGGTGGAGTTCTCTTGATGCATTAGCTACAAGTGACCCATTTCTATTAGTAGTATTGTAATACAAATAAAAGAATTATATTGAATATAAAGTATAGATATTATGTTAATTGAAGTGAGATACCAATTGTTTATACATATGCTATGAGGTAAGTTCGCTATATTCCTTACTATTTAAACCACTTTTGCAGGAAGCTAATAAACCTCCCGATTCATGGTTTGAATTGAAAGTAAATACACATGTCTATGTGACTGGACTGCCTGATGATGTTACTGCAGAAGAAGTAATCTTCACTTGAGGACCTAAATGTCTTCACTTCTTTCTTTTCCACTTTTCTCTTAGATAGTATCTAATTTTAGAAACATGTGGCAGTTGGTTGAGGTGTTCTCCAAGTGCGGAATAATCAAAGAGGTAAACACCTGCTATGTACGTTTTACTTTTATGATTTTATTTGTGAATGGTTTAACGATTGAAGTCCTCTCGTTTATTTTTTGCCTTCAATTCAAATAGATAGTTTTCCCTCTTTCCACTACAAAGATAAACATATCTTCCGAAAGTCAGTTAACTATCTAAATATATTTTGGTGTAGTGCCGCATCTTGACTTTAGGAGTTTTGGGCGACATTTTTACCTGCATATTGATTGAGTAGATCAGTATGATATGATGATCTACAACATTGTTCAAAGTGCTTAATGGTTGTTATTTTAGTGTACTAAATTTTTTTTGATAAGAATTGAAGGCCTCGTTAAAAACCTCCTTCTTAATTAATGGAGCTTGAAAGAAAGCTCCTTAATCATTGGAAGGAGGAAAAGAGTGCCTTAGAGTTTCATTCAACAATTTAATTACATAATATACAACCAGGACAACACCCCTAACTAAAGCAAAAAACCACACAGAGCTCTTAAATAGCGACAAACAACAACACTAACTTAGACTTGACCTCCTAAACTAGGTCCCCATCAACTGATGGTGAGTCCTGATTGTCAAATCGGCGAAATTAATACAAAGTAAGAACCTATACAACCCAAAGATCAGACAGAAAATAAACAACGAAAGGCCATCTATACTTAAACAATTCCCTGCTTAGCTAGCCTATCAGCCTCCAAATTACAGCTCCTAGGAATCCATTTAAGAGCACAACCCTTATCAAAAATTGCAGCCCCAATTTCCTCCACTAGATCACTGAAAAAGACCGGGACAGAATGCAGTTTTAAAATCCAATCCACTGCATTTATGCAATTACTCTCTATAAATAGCCTTCCCTTATTAGCCCAATCAGATGAATAGAAAAAAACAATTCCTTCCTTAATAGCTTTCAATTCTGCCAAAGTAGAAAGACTAGGCCCTACTGCAGAAGAGAAAGAGGCTAAGGGACAGCTGTTAGAATCTCTCAAAATACCCCCAATCCCACCTTGCATACCGTCTCCATTGATTGCCCCATCCACATTAAATTTAAACGCACCCGTCGGTGGAGGAGTCCAGCCAATAATCTTTTTGTAGTAGAAGGACGATGAACAACATCAGCCGCGTAGGATCCCCTACTAATAAGTCAGTCTGAATCTGAACAGTAGGGTGCTTAGCTAAATACCATTTAGCCAACCTGAATCTAATTATAAAAAACAGACCGGAGCTGTCAAGTTTCCCATTTTCGAACACAACTAGATTCCTTGCGTTCCAGATTGACCATAAAACAACAGCCGGGATAAACTTCCAAATGGTAGAATTCTGCCTTAGGTTCGGCCAAGAACAGAGAAGAGAAGAAGGATCTTGCGGTAGAACAGAAGAGATTTCCCAAAGCCTTAGAAATTTATTCCAGATGTCCCTAGCAACAGAACATAAGAGGAACAAGTGTTCTATTGTTTCATCATGGGAATGGCATAAGGGACAAAGCACATCCACCATAGGGATCCCTCTTTTTACTAGTTCCACTCTCACTGCTAACTTGCGATGACAAAGCTGCCACAAGAAGGTTTGAACTTTGGGAGGGGCCAACCCCGCCCAAACCCACTTATTCCATTCAAAACTCCCATCATTCCTGCCAAATAACGTCAATCTACAAGACTTGACCGAGAACATGCCACCCTCCTTTCCCGACCAACCCAGAAAATCATCCACCGAATTAGAAAGCTTAATGGAGTCAATCAACGACATTAAAACGATCCACTGGTCCAACTCCCAATCACATAGGTTTCTTCTAAGTTGGATATTCTAGACCCAAACGTTATTTACAAACTCACCAAACTCAGAAACCTTCCCCCCTTTATTGGTTGACAAAGCAAAAATTCTGGGGAATTGAATTTTTAGAGACAGATTCGTCGCCCAAACATCATTCCAGAAAGCTATCGACCTACCATTCCCCACCTGAATCTTTGAATAATCTCTCAAACAGTTTCCAATCGTATCATTTTTCGCATAGCTATTTTGTATACCTCTCCAAATCCAGGAATCTAAAGGAGAAGAAGCACTTGATATAGAAAGGGACAGGTTACTAATATTGTTTCTGCACCAAATCAACCTTTTCCAAAGACTATTCTTTTCATTAGCAAATTTCCAAACCCATTTCCCAAGCAGTACTCTATTAATCAAACTTAAATCAAGAATTCCCAAACCACCCTCTTCGAGAGGTTGACATACCGATTTCCAGTTCACCTAGTGAATTCGTTTCTTAATATGATCATCTCCCCAAAGGAAATTAGCCATCAAAGAATTCAACTTCTTGGTCACTTTGAAAGGCATTTTGAAAATAGAAATGAAAAAAATGGGCAAGGAGGATAGCACAGATTTAACCAAAACGAGTCTTCCGCCAACGACAAAGAGTTAGCTTTCCAACCTGCTAGTTTCCTATTAAAATTCTGGATTACAGGTTCCCGCATGCCCTCAGAATTATTCCTTGTACCAATCGGCAAACCAAGGTAGGTCATGGGAAAAGATCCCACACCACAGCCCGCTTTCTTAGCCCACTCCTTTATCGTGTCAATATCCATATTAACGCCAAACAAAGTGCTCTTAGACAAGTTTAGATGCAACCCGACATAACACCAAACACCCTCAAAACTCTCCTAATATTTAAAATCTGCATTGGAGAATCTCTGCAGAAAAGTATCAAGTCATCTGCAAACTGCAGATGTGTTAAATGGAATGAATTGTCAACCCTACCAATGCTAAACCCTTGAAAAAGATAAGATGTGAAGGAAGATGAAAAAATATTAAAAGAAATTTGTCTAAAAATTAGTCGTCAGAGGATAAGAACTGGCTAAAATATCAGTCTTACCACACTTTTTAATTATTAGACTTTGTTTATACATTGTTGAAACAGCTGCAGCTTTCTCTTTGTACGCAATTTATTCTCTTTGCAAAAAAGGGGACGACAATAAGTAAACATTGTTAATCCATGCATTATATCCTGACCTTACATACTTTTGACTTATATCTATTGCATGTTGATTCTAGATAAGAAAGATGTTTAAATTGGCCAAAGTGTTCATCAGATTTTCTTTTTATATACTTATCCCAACTTGAAGTTCTTAGTAACATAAAGTGTGAAGGGGAAAAATGACTGAAAATTAGTCATGTTGTCTAGCTTAATTACCTTTTAATTATACAAAGTAGTGACGGCATGTGTGGAAGTGTTATATCCCATATGAAGTTTATATGTTTTGCAACTATAGTTGTTAAGTGGTGTTATAGCATATTGGTCAAGTATTGGGTTTGTTGTGGTTTTATATTGAAGTAGTTCCCATTATATTACCTATTGATTGTAGGTTCAATGCTACAACATTGTATTAGAGTCCAGATCTAGTTATGTTCTTCCTGCCTAATTTCATGTGAGGTTGAAGAAGCCTAGTGAGGTTATCTATGTGGATGCCTTGTGAACAACACACGAGGGAAGTGTACTAGTGGTGTTATTCCATATTGTTAAGTATTTTCTATGTTCATTTATTAAAGTTGGGCCCTCCGCATATTACCAATTGGTTTTAGGTTGGATGCTTTAACAATAGTAAATCTCAGGCCTTCCCTAAAGTGCATAGAGTTGATTTGGTGGTGTATTATTAATTCATCTTAGTTTTCAGGTTCAACTATACAAAAATTTCATTTTAGGATCTTGTTTCACAGAAAGCAAATTTCATAAAATGGATTACATTTTCAGGAAACCAAATTCTAGAAATCATTTTACGGTGTTTGGTTGATGCATGTAAACCATTTTCCCATAATTGGTAAATTTTTTAAAAATTATTTATTATAAATATCAAGTATAATAAATAATATTATTTATTAGAATTCAACTTCTTGGTCACTTTGAAAGGCATTTTGAAAATAGAAATGAAAAAAATGGGCAAGGAGGATAGCACAGATTTAACCAAAACGAGTCTTCCGCCAACGACAAAGAGTTAGCTTTCCAACCTGCTAGTTTCCTATTAAAATTCTGGATTACAGGTTCCCGCATGCCCTCAGAATTCTTCCTTGTACCAATCGGCAAACCAAGGTAGGTCATGGGAAAAGATCCCACACCACAGCCCGCTTTCTTAGCCCACTCCTTTATCGTGTCAATATCCATATTAACGCCAAACAAAGTGCTCTTAGACAAGTTTAGATGCAACCCGACATAACACCAAACACCCTCAAAACTCTCCTAATATTTAAAATCTGCATTGGAGAATCTCTGCAGAAAAGTATCAAGTCATCTGCAAACTGCAGATGTGTTAAATGGAATGAATTGTCAACCCTACCAATGCTAAACCCTTGAAAAAGATAAGATGTGAAGGAAGATGAAAAAATATTAAAAGAAATTTGTCTAAAAATTAGTCGTCAGAGGATAAGAACTGGCTAAAATATCAGTCTTACCACACTTTTTAATTATTAGACTTTGTTTATACATTGTTGAAACAGCTGCAGCTTTCTCTTTGTACGCAATTTATTCTCTTTGCAAAAAAGGGGACGACAATAAGTAAACATTGTTAATCCATGCATTATATCCTGACCTTACATACTTTTGACTTATATCTATTGCATGTTGATTCTAGATAAGAAAGATGTTTAAATTGGCCAAAGTGTTCATCAGATTTTCTTTTTATACTTATCCCAACTTGAAGTTCTTAGTAACATAAAGTGTGAAGGGGAAAAATGACTGAAAATTAGTCATGTTGTCTAGCTTAATTACCTTTTAATTATACAAAGTAGTGACGGCATGTGTGGAAGTGTTATATCCCATATGAAGTTTATATGTTTTGCAACTATAGTTGTTAAGTGGTGTTATAGCATATTGGTCAAGTATTGGGTTTGTTGTGGTTTTATATTGAAGTTAGTTCCCATTATATTACCTATTGATTGTAGGTTCAATGCTACAACATTGTATTAGAGTCCAGATCTAGTTATGTTCTTCCTGCCTAATTTCATGTGAGGTTGAAGAAGCCTAGTGAGGTTATCTATGTGGATGCCTTGTGAACAACACACGAGGGAAGTGTACTAGTGGTGTTATTCCATATTTGTTAAGTATTTTCTATGTTCATTTATTAAAGTTGGGCCCTCCGCATATTACCAATTGGTTTTAGGTTGGATGCTTTAACAATAGTAAATCTCAGGCCTTCCCTAAAGTGCATAGAGTTGATTTGGTGGTGTATTATTTAATTCATCTTAGTTTTCAGGTTCAACTATACAAAAATTTCATTTTAGGATCTTGTTTCACAGAAAGCAAATTTCATAAAATGGATTACATTTTCAGGAAACCAAATTCTAGAAATCATTTTACGGTGTTTGGTTGATGCATGTAAACCATTTTCCCATAATTGGTAAATTTTTTAAAAATTATTTATTATAAATATCAAGTATAATAAATAATATTATTTATTAGAATTCAACTTCTTGGTCACTTTGAAAGGCATTTTGAAAATAGAAATGAAAAAAATGGGCAAGGAGGATAGCACAGATTTAACCAAAACGAGTCTTCCGCCAACGACAAAGAGTTAGCTTTCCAACCTGCTAGTTTCCTATTAAAATTCTGGATTACAGGTTCCCGCATGCCCTCAGAATTCTTCCTTGTACCAATCGGCAAACCAAGGTAGGTCATGGGAAAAGATCCCACACCACAGCCCGCTTTCTTAGCCCACTCCTTTATCGTGTCAATATCCATATTAACGCCAAACAAAGTGCTCTTAGACAAGTTTAGATGCAACCCGACATAACACCAAACACCCTCAAAACTCTCCTAATATTTAAAATCTGCATTGGAGAATCTCTGCAGAAAAGTATCAAGTCATCTGCAAACTGCAGATGTGTTAAATGGAATGAATTGTCAACCCTACCAATGCTAAACCCTTGAAAAAGATAAGATGTGAAGGAAGATGAAAAAATATTAAAAGAAATTTGTCTAAAAATTAGTCGTCAGAGGATAAGAACTGGCTAAAATATCAGTCTACCACACTTTTTAATTATTAGACTTGTTTATACATTGTTGAAACAGCTGCAGCTTCTCTTTGTACACAATTTATTCTCTTTGCAAAAAAGGGGACGACAATAAGTAAACATTGTTAATCCATGCATTATATCCTGACCTTACATACTTTTGACTTATATCTATTGCATGTTGATTCTAGATAAGAAAGATGTTTAAATTGGCCATAAGTGTTCATCAGATTTTCTTTTTATATACTTATCCCAACTTGAAGTTCTTAGTAACATAAAGTGTGAAGGGGAAAAATGACTGAAAATTAGTCATGTTGTCTAGCTTAATTACCTTTTAATTATACAAAGTAGTGACGGCATGTGTGGAAGTGTTATATCCCATATGAAGTTTATATGTTTTGCAACAATAGTTGTTAATTGGTGTTATAGCATATTGGTCAAGTATTGGGTTTGTTGTGGTTTTATATTGAAGTTAGTTCCCATTATATTACCTATTGATTGTAGGTTCAATGCTACAACATTGTATTAGAGTCCAGATCTAGTTATGTTCTTCCTGCCTAATTTCATGTGAGGTTGAAGAAGCCTAGTGAGGTTATCTATGTGGATGCCTTGTGAACAACACACGAGGGAAGTGTACTAGTGGTGTTATTCCATATTTGTTAAGTATTTTCTATGTTCATTTATTAAAGTTGGGCCCTCCGCATATTACCAATTGGTTTTAGGTTGGATGCTTTAACAATAGTAAATCTCAGGCCTTCCCTAAAGTGCATAGAGTTGATTTGGTGGTGTATTATTTAATTCATCTTAGTTTTCAGGTTCAACTATACAAAAATTTCATTTTAGGATCTTGTTTCACAGAAAGCAAATTTCATAAAATGGATTACATTTTCAGGAAACCAAATTCTAGAAATCATTTTACGGTGTTTAGTTGATGCATGTAAACCATTTTCCCATAATTGGTAAATTTTTTAAAAATTATTTATTATAAATATCAAGTATAATAAATAATATTATTTATTAGAAAATAATTAATATTATTATTTTTGAAATAAAATTTTAATATTATTATCAATATTATTATTAAAATTTTATTTCTAAAATTTATAAATAAAAATATTAATTATTTTCTAATACTAAAATATTATTAAATAAGAATATTATACTATTATTTATATTAATTACTTATTAAATTAAGAATATTATTATAATATAAAAAATTATAATATTAAAATGATACTAAAAATATATTTTTATATTATTAAAGTTATTAATAATATATTGTAATAATTAATATTTTCATTAAAATGGTACTATAATAGTATATTAATATTAAATGAATAAAATAATATTATTTTGAGTATTTATGTTTTAAAGTGAAAATTTCGGAAAACAACTTACGGAAAATCAATCCGTAAGTCATTTTCCAGAAAATGCAAAGGAAATTCTGTTGACCAGGAAAATTAATTACGTTGACCATCTGTTTTCCACCAACTAAACACTAGAAAATGAGGAAAACGTTTTCCGAAAAACCAATTACAGGGAATCAAACAGACTCTTACCGTTGAGCACATTTTCTATGTCCTATACATGTGAATAGCTTGATAGGTTCCTACCAATGTTTGCATGTGAGATCTTGTTGGCTTGTGGTTTTGTTCTATCACTAGATGTTTGAACATTATATTTCTTTTGCGAAAAGGTTCAAAGAAAATCAGACTTTCATGACCATTTTTGTTCATATCTGAATGAGTAATTTTGTATTGCTTGATCTCTGTTTAGGGACAATACCCCGGTTACTGATTTGGGTACATTGTGCAAAACTCTCTCACAAGTCCGTGATAAATACTAATTATAGTTTTTCTCTACTTGTTTACCACTGCTTTGGGTAGGTAAACTGTCGGAGCTTAATCTCAAATTCACCTAAAAATAAAATGGCAATTGTTTCCTCGGATAACTGGTATTTTCGGTCGCACACATTCTTGAGTCTGTATGAGAAATTCTATAGGACCCTGAAACGAAAAGACCTCGTGTGAAGATCTATGTTGACAAGGAGACAAGAAGGAAAAAGGGGATGCTCTTATTACATATCTAAAAGTAGTTTCCTTCTTCATATTGTGCTTATGATGTATAGAATTAATTTTTTTTTGCTAACTTTAAAGCTTTATTGCATCTGTTCCAGGAGCCCTCTGTTGCTTTAGCTGTTCAAATTTTGGATGGAACACCTTTACATCCTGATGGAAAGACCCCTATGTCTGTCAGCCAAGCTAAATTTGAGCAAAAGGTACAATGATTCGTGCTGTTGCATTCACTTTGGTTAGTGTCCTTTTGAATTATTTTTATGGTTTTCTTGTATCTTACAACTGAGTAATTGAATACATTTCTCTGCACTCAGTCAAGTTATAGAACTAATTTTAATCTCTTATACAGTCCTGCAGTACAAATAAGTTTGTATTGCAACAATGCAAGGGATAAATTTATAGCCAAGCAAGTGGACAGCAGGAAGAAAAAGAAACTGAAGAAATTTGAGGATAGGATGCTTAGCTGGGGTAGGTTCTCATCTTGCATATTACAGTTATGTATACTGAAGAAAGTTGAAGAAATAAGCACAAATCATGAGATTGAGTGATTCAGAATTTTGTGCAATAATAACATTCTATTGCATTCGAGTGACTACAAAGCTCAGTCCCTTGTTTTTTTTTTCTTTTTTTGGTTTATTCTTTACTAAGCGTATGAATGAACAATGTTGGTAAAGAAATAAGCACAAATAATGAGATTGAGTGATTCAGAATTTTGTGCAATACTAATTTTCTATTGTATTCGAGTGGCTTATTGGCATTGATCCTTGGAAACCTTTTCCTCAAGTAGTTCATTTGTCATCTTTCCCTTGTGCAACATACATCCTGAATACTATTTTTTTATATGATGCAGGTGGCCGTCATGATGCGAAGGTGACAATTCCGGCAACTGTTGTCTTTCGTAACATGTTCATACCTGCAGAAACGAGGGTATGATTGAAAATGGTTAAAAAATGCATTTGACTGTATTCCAATAATTACTTTTTCTGCTATATATTACTATATAATATTCTCCTTGAATGTGGTTATTATAAAATTAAATAGTATGAATAATATAAGGTCCCTACAATTTATTTACATTACATAGCGTTCTGAGTTGTCTACCTCCCTTCTCTGCAGGCAGATGAAAATTTGAGTTCAGAACTGGAGGAAGATGTTAAAGAGGAATGCTCAAAGCTTGGTCCACTGGACTCAGTCAAGGTAACATAGTCTTTTACCATGGTCACATCTGAATAATTTTGATTCATGTGTTCTGTTCTAGGAAGCACGGGGACGCCATAGTTGTGTTGTTTCAAGTACTCGATACGTCCCCGGCACGGGGACGGCTGGGGTACGTACTGGGGACGTGCCACGGTGGCAGGGTACGGTTGAACGACGTCAGGGATGTTTCACCGAGACCTAAGGATGTTTCGGGGACGTCATGTGACTTTTGCATGCATCTCCAGGATTTTTTTTTGTCATTTTCCATTTAAAAAAAACTCACAACAAAACCTAATTTTACAGCTTCTCAATGCCCTCTTTCTTCTCTCATCGTCTCTCAACTCTCATCACCAGAAAATAGAAAACAACTTTCTTTCATTCCAAAAACTAAATTTGTGCTGCTGAAGTGAAGATTTCTAGGTTTCAAACTTTTAGTTGGCTATGTAAGTTCTCCATTTCTCTACGTTTTTCAATTTCTTTTTTGCACCCTTTTCAATTTATTTTCATTACCGAATATCCTTTGCAATTTAAACAATGTTGGTTTTCATTTTTCTAGTAGTAGCAGTTTCGATTTCTCAAGAACAAAAAACAGAGTATAACAAATTCCATATTCGAAATAGAATAGAATGAAATCCATTTTCCGGCAACCTTTTTTCAATTCGAAGCAAAACAGATTAGGGTTTTTTTTATAGGAATAGTAGGCCTCATTAAAAACCTCCCTCATAGAAGTCCTTTACCATTAGGCAAGAACCATCTAGCGGAAGAAGGAAAAGAGTGCCTTAATATATTATTGATAAACCAATTACATAATACTTAAACAATTCTCTCTTACAACTGCTATGTAAAACACACAAAACAACTTATCAATTACAAATAAAACATTCAATCAACCAATCCCCTCCTTTGCTAGTTTATCCGCCTCACAATTACAACACCTAGGTATCAACCTTACAATCATCTCATTCTCTGCTACAGTAGACACAATCTCTTTGACTAAATTTGTAAGAAAAATTGGAACCGAAGAAATAGCTTTAATCCAATCCACTGCTGATTTACAATCACTCTCAATAATCAGTCTTCCTTTCAACGCCCATTCTGAAGAGACAAAGATGTCGATGCCTTTCTTTATGGCTTTTAATTCTGCTATAGGAGGAGGGCTAGGACCAATATTGTCTGAAAATGAAATTAGAACAATACCATTCCAATCTCTAAGAATACCCCCTATTCCACCTATAAAGCCAACACTACTGATAGCCCTTCCACATTCATTTTAAAGAAGTCAACTGGAGGAGGACTCCAGCATAAAACATGCCTGTTATGATCCTTAAAAGCAGTAAGATTGTCAGCCAAAGAAGGGTCTCCAATCAACAATTCTACTTGAATTGGAACAAGAGGGTACTTTGCTAAAAACCATTTGGCTAATCTGAATTTAATAATGAAAAACGAGGACGGTCTGTCCAACTTCTCCTTTTCAAAAACAATGTTATTCCTCACCTTCCAAATTGACCAAAAAACAACTCCCGAGATAAACTTCCATATAAGTGAATTCGGTCTCAAAATAGTCCAGGAGCTGAAAAGTGTTGAAGGGTCATTAGGCAGAGCTAAAACTAGTCCCCAATAGCCTATTATTTTGTTTCAAAGATTCCATGAAACTGAGCAGGAAATGAATAGATGTTGTACAGTTTCTTCACATTGATTACAAAGAGGACAAAGACTTTCCTCCCCTAATTGAACTCCCCTATTCTTCAACTCCACTCTCATAGCTACTCTTCGAAGACAAACTTGCCAAAGGAAATATTCTACCCTTGGAGGAACTAACCCTGACCAAACCCATTTTTTCCATAAAAAACTGTCATCTTTAGTAGTTTCAAGTGACAACCTGCAAGCTTTAACTGAGAACAACCCATCACCAATTCCATTCCACAATAAAAAATCGTCCATTGTATCCACCATTTTAATGTTTTGTAACCACTCCAATAATTCCAGCAGCTGTCCTACTTCCCAATCGCATAAATTCCTCATAGTTTTAATGATCTACTTCCATCCATTCGATTCATAGCTGTCAGAGTCAGCCACTTTACCCCACTTATTCGGAGAAAGTGCATAAATCCTAGGAGACAAAATCTTCAAAGGAAAATCCCCAATCCAAGTGTCATTCCAAAAGGAGATTGATTTACCATTCCCCACTTGTATCTTTGCATGTGATCTAAGACATCCTCCCTCGGAATCATCCTTCAAGTAATTTTCACTATTCCTCTCCAAATCCAAGAATCCTGCTGAGAGATAACCTTATTGATGTCCATGGTATAACAACTAATATTATGTTTGCTATATAAAAAAAATTTTAACAATGAATTTTTCTCATTGGCAAACTTCCACACTCATTTTCCTAACAAAGCACGATTGGTAAGGTTCATATCAGTGACTCCCAAGCCTCTACTTCTCTGCGGTTTTCAAACATTTTTCCAGCTCACCCAATGTATTGTTTTCCTTTCAACCCCACTACCCCATAGAAAATTTGCCATCAAGGAATAATCTTTTGGCTAATTTTACTCGGCATCTTGAAAATAGATAGCAAAAAAATGGGTAATAATGACAATACCGACTTTAGAAGCACTAATCTATCAGCCATAGATAGTGTAGAAGCTTTACACCCTGCCAATTTCTTGTTAAAATTCTGGATGCCCGGTTCCCACAATTTCTCCACATTTTTTTTGCTCCGAGAAGAAGGCCTAAATAGATCGAAGGAAATGAACCAAGTGAACTATTGATTTTACCGAATATATCCTTTTATATTCATTAATAGTGGTCTGTATGTAATTTATATTCACATCTCTTTTCGCCTTTTATATTCGCAAAATGAACTATTGAAAAAGAAAAAGTCAATAAAGAACCTTAGGTTTATTTCACATGTTGCACTATGTTTATTTGATATCTTCATTATTGGTTTAGGAGCTAGGCTTTATTAAAACCATCTAAATATTAATCAACATGCTTTGTTTTCAATTATATTCAATGGATGCATGATATTTAAACTCAATTAATTTTTTTTAATGTAAACAAATTAATTTATTATAAATATGACATCTCAAAGTGGTAGTGAGACTGGAAGTAATAGTGGGAGTGAGTCAATTTCATCGTCCCAAAATGAGAATTTATCTCCATTTTGGAATTATGTGACAGAAAAGCGAGGGACTGTTAGAGGAACTTGGAATTTTCAATGTAACATTTGCGACGAAATTCGTAATGGAGACAATACTAGGATAAAGGCACATTTGCTTCAAATTACAGGTGAAGGAGTTGCAATTTACGAAAAGGTAACTACAAATCAAAAACTTGAAATGATAAGGTTGGTAGAAGAGTGGGAGAATATAAAAAAACAAGGAGTAACTTAGCTGGAATTGAGTGATTCTTCTTCTAAGAAGACAAAACCTAGTTTGTCACCTTTTGCTAGAGCATTCGACATGAATATGAGAGCCCAATTAGATGAAGAAATTGCAAGAATATTCTACACCAGTGGTTTGCCCTTTAATCTTGCTAGAAATCCTCATTATCATAGGGCTTTCACTTTTGTTGCAACTCACAACATTCCTGGTTATGTTCCACTGGTTATAATAAATTGCGAACTACATTGCTCCAACAAGAAAAAAATAATATTGAGAAACTCTTGTAATCGATTAAAGCAACACGATAAGAAAAAGGGTTAACTATTGTGTGTGATGGTTGGAGTGATCCAACAAGAAAACCTCTAATTAATTTCATGGCTACTTCTGGAAATAAGTCTATGTTTCTTAAAGTTGTGAATTGTTTTGGTGAATTAAAAATAAGTTTTTCATTGCTAATTTGATGAAAGAAATGATTGATGAGATTGATCATCAAAATGTGATGCAGATTATTACTGACAATGCAGCTAATTGCAAGTGACAGGAGAGATTATTGAGAGCATGTATTCTCATATTAATTTTACACCGTGTGTTGTCCATACACTTAATCTTGCCTTGAAGAACATTTGTTCGGCAAAAAATGTCGAGGGAAATGAGGAAACATATGACTTGTACCATTGGATTACTGGTATTCATGGGAATGCCGTACAAATCAAGAATTTCATCATGAACCACAACTTGAGATCGATAATCTTTCAAAGATTTAGTCATCTTAAGTTACTTTCAGTTGTCGATACTCGTTTTGCTTCGATAATTGTGATGCTTAAGAGGTTTAAGCTCATCAAGTAGGGATTTTAAGCAATGGTCATTAGTGATGAATGAAATTCTTATAGGGAGGATGACATGGTGGAAACAAACTTTGTGAAAGAAAAGCTTGTGAGTGATGATTGGTGGGATAAAGTAGCTTACATCATTTATTTTTCAAAGCCTATCTATGACATGCTTAGAGTATGTGACACTGATAAGCTATGTTTTCATTTGGTATATGAGTTGTGGGATTCCATGATTAAGAAAGTGAAGTGTGAAATTTACAAGAAGGAAAAACGTCCTCTTTCAGACTTTAGTATTTTTTATCATGTTTATGGGATTCTTATAGCTCGTTAGACAAAGAGTTATTCTCCTTTTAATCATCTAGCTCATTCACTAAATCCAAGGTACATACATAACTTTGTTAGTTTTGAATTTTATATTTTCAACTCCTAGTTCTTTGATGCTATGTGTAATTTTCTTTTTAATATGTTGAAGGTTTTATAGTGATTGTTGGCTAAGCGATGATCCTTGTAGAGTTGCTCCTCATAGAGATGGTGAAATATCTCGAGAGAATGAAATGTTTTCGTAGGTTATTTCCAAATGATGATGATTATGACAAAGTCTTTGATGAATTTGCTTGTTTCTCACTTAAGCTCGGGCCTTTTGAAGATTTGATGTCTCTTACATAGATGTATTCTTTGGATCCGAAAAGTTGGTGAGCTAACTTTGGTACCGAAATTCTATTGCTCAAATCTTTGGTTTTCAAAGTGCTTGGACAACCTACTTCATCCTCTTGTTGTGAAAGAAATTGGAGCACTTATTCTTTTATCCACTCACTTATGAGGAATAAGTTAAATCCGAGTCGCACCGAAAATTTAGTTTACATCCACTACAATCTTTATCTTTTATTAAGGAGTTCTAGTCAATATGAGGATGAGAAAACCAAGATGTGAGATGTTGGTGAAGATGCTTTTGATTATTTGGGAGATGTTGGATATTTAGAGTTTGCTGAACTTTCGCTTGATGAGCTGGATTTAGAGAGCCAGTTAATCTCCGAAGACGTTAACAATGTTTGATTTGAGTTTAATATTTTTCTAGAGTTAATATTATGGTTTAAGTCTTAAGATTCAACACTTTAATATTATGGATTTTATTATTCTAGATTTAATATTGTGGTTTGAATCTTGAAATTTGACATTTTAATATTGTGGTTTGAGTCTTAATATTTGACTTTATTTATGCTTTTTTTATATATATTTATAATTTTAAAATTATTTTATGTTGTACCCTTGTCGTCCCCATATCCTGTAATTTTAAAAATTGTCGTTTCTTGTCCCCGTCCCCTTATCCATATCAGTGCAACATAGCCCCCAAAGGCGCAGGAAGCGTCCGTCGTTAACCGTCGTGTCGTTGGAGGCTAATTTTTCGGCGCCCACCTAAGAGGTGCCTTAGGCGTGCTTTTTAAAACTAAGGAAGCAAGATTTATCATATCAAACACCAGACTTAAAACGTTAACAAACAATTCAATTATAGTTCTCCATCAATGCCTAAATGCAGGAATTATAAACCTAGACTAAGCATAAGTATGGCTATTTATCACGCATGGCCTAGAACAGAGCACGTATAAAAGTTATTCAGAGGTACCAAGACCAAGCAAGAGTAAGGCTATTTACCCCCCATGGCCTAGAATAAAACCTATGTTGCATTGATACGGAGACGGATATGGAGACGGGAAACAACAATTTTTAAAATTACAGGGTACGGGGACGACATATAAAATAATTTTAAAATTATAAATATATATAAAAAATCATTAATAAAGTCAAATATTAATATTCAAACCACAATATTAAGTTTAGAACATTAAAATCCATAAACAAACAACAATGTTAAAATGTCAATTTCAAGATTCAAACCACAATATTCATTCTAGAATAATAAAATCCATAATAAAATCATAATATTAAAGTGTCAAATCTTAAGACTCGAACCATAATATTAAGTCTAGAAAAATATTAAACCCAAATCAAACATTGTTAACATCTTTCGAGATTAACTGACTCTCTAAATCTAGCTCATCAAGCGAAAGTTCGACAAACTTTAAATATACATCTCCCAATGAATCAAAATAATCTCCACCACCATCCCACATCTTGGTTTTCTCATCCTAATATTGACTAGAATTCCCTGATAAATGACGAAGATTGTAGTGGATGTAAACTAAATCTTCTGCGCGACTCGGATTTAATTTATTCCTCCTAAGTGAGTGGATAAAAGAATAAGTGCTCTAATTTCTTTCACAACAAGAGGATGAAGTAGGTTGTCCATGCACTTTGAAAGCCAAAGATTGGAGCAATGAAATTTCGACACCAAAGTTAGCCCACAAACTTTTTGGATCTGAAGAGTACCTCTTTATAAGAGACATCAAAACTTCAAAAAGCTCGAGCTTAGGTGGAAAACAAGCAAATTCATCCAAGACTTTGTCATAATCATCATTTGGAAATAACCTACGAAAACATTTCATTATCTCTCGAGATATTTCACCATCTCTATGAGGAGCAACTCTACAAGGATCTTCGCTTAGTCAACCATCACTATAAAAACCTTCAACATATTAAAAATAAAATTACACATAGCATCAAAGAACTAGGAGTTGAAAATATAAAATTCAAAACTAACAAAGTTATGTATGTACCTTGGATTTAGTGAATGAGCTAGACAATGAAGAGGAATATAACTTTTTATCCAACGAGCTATAAGAATCCTTAAACAAAATGATAAAAAGGACTGAAGTCTGAAAGAGGACATTTTTCCTTGTAAATTTCACAACTTTCTCAATCATGGAATCCCACAACTCATATACCAAATGAAGACATTGTTTATCAGTGTCACATACTCTAAGCATGTCATAGATGAGTTTTGTAAAATCAATGATGTAAGCTACTTTATCCCACCAATCATCACTCACAAGCTTTTCTTTCACAAAGTGTGCTTTAATCATGTAATCCTCCCTATAAGAATTTCATTCATCACTAATGATCATTGCTTGAAGTCCCTGTTTGATGAGCTTAAACCTCTTAAGCATCACAATGATCGAAGCAAAACGAGTATCGCCAATTAAAATTAACTTAAGATAATTAAATCTTTGAAAGATTACCGATCTCATGTTGTGGTTCATGATGAAATTCTTGATTTGTACGGCATCCCCATGAATATCAGTAATCCAATGGCACAAGTCATATGTTTCCTCATTTCCCTCGATATTTTTTATCGAACAAATGTTCTTCAAAGCAAGATTAAGCGTACAGACAACACACAATGTCCAATAAATATGAGGATACATGCTCTCATTAATCTTTACCGCCCCTTGCAATTAGTTGTATTATCAGTAATAATCTGCACCACATTTTGATGATCAACCTCATCAATCACTTCTTTCATCAAATTAGCAATGAAAAACTTATCTTTGACTTCACCAAAACAATTCACAGCTTTAAGAAACATAGGTCTATTTCCAGAAGTAGCCATGAAATTAATGAGAGGCTTTCTTGTTGGATCACTCCAACCATCACACAGCCTTTTTTCTTGCCATGTTGCTTTAATCGGTTGCAAGAGCTTCTCAACATTATTTTTTTTCTTGTTGGAGCAATGTGGTTCGTAATTTATTATAACCAGGAATATTGTGAGTTGCAGCAAAAGTGAAAGCTCTACAATAATGAGGATTTCTAGCAAGATTAAAGGGCAAACCATCGGTGTAGAACATTCTTGCAATTTCTTCATCTAATTGGGCTCTCGTATTCATGTCGAATGCTCTAGCAAGAGGTGACAAGCTAGGTTTTCTCTTCTTAGAAGAAGAATCAATCTCAATTCCAATTGAAGATTGAGAGGGCAAAGAAACTTCTCTAGTTACTCCTTGGTTTTTTTATATTATCCCACTCTTCTACCAACCTTACCATTTCAAGTTTTTTATTTGTAGTTTCCTCTTTGCAAAATTGCAACTCCTTCACCTGTAATTTGAAGCAAATGTTACATCGAAAATTCCAAATTCCTCCAACAGTCCCTCACTTTTCTATCTTTGTCACATAATTCCACAATGGAGATGAATTCTCATTTTGGGACGATGAAATTGACAAACTCCCACTATTACTTCCAGTCCCACTACCATTTTGAGATGTCATATTTATGATAAATTAATATGTTTACATTAAAAAATTAATTGAGTTTAAATATCATGCATCAATTGAATGTAATTGAAAACAATGCATGCTGATTAATGTTTACATGGTTTTAATAAATCCTAACTCTTAAACTAGTGAATGAAGATATCAAATAAACATAGTGCAACATGTGAAATAAACTTAAGGTTCTTTATTGACTTTGATTTTCTTTTTCAGTAGTTCATTTTGCGAATATAAAAGGCGAAAAGAGATATGAATATAAGTTACATACAGACTACTATTAATGAATATAAAACGATATTCGGTGAAATCAATATAGATCCTTCATCTATCAAAGTGCTTAAGAGTTTAGTCTCCGACAACCTAAAGGAGGACTCGACAAGGCAATGTGATGATCTAACCCTAATCTGTTTTGCTTTGAATTGAATAAAGGTTGCCGGAAAATTGATTTCGAATATGGAATTTGTTATACTCTGTTTTTTATTCTTGATAAATCGAAATTGCAACTAATAGAAAAATGAAAACCAACACTGTTTAAATTGCAAAGGATATTCAGTAATGAAAAAAATTTGAAAAGGGTAGAGAAAAAAATTGAAAAACGCAGAGAAATTGAGAACTTACATAGCCAACTGAAAGTTTGAATTCTGAAAGTCTTCACTTCAGTAGCACAAATTTAATTTTTGGAATGAAAGATAGGAAGGATGCTCAAAAGTGTTTAGAGTACAAAAATGGTCGATGGTATGTTTTGTCTTGGAAAGTTTATTTGTTTTGAAAACAACAGTTATCCATCAGAGAACCAAATGAGAAAACTAAACCATCAATTACCATAAGAGGGAGAAAAAACAACAGAAGGTGGTGTTTGATACTCTAGAATGGCAATGGCACCTAAATGCATTTGTTTTTCATTACGCTCGAATGTGCATCGGCCTAATAATGAAACTCTTAACAACTAGCAAGTACTGGGGCGCATGCGTTCCTTGTTATTTTCTTATTTCTAGTGTTGTTGATCTTTCTTGTTTTGGTTTTGGTTTGGTGGGAGACAGATCCATGCAAGTGAAGATGATGGAGTGGTTAATCGTGCTTTGGTGCGGCGGGATCTGGATGAGGATGCTGGAACAATTCGGTTCTGAACTTGAAGCCAAATGATTTGCGCCGGATGCTTGAAACCCGACTGGACTCTTTTGTTTTGTGAAATTACTAGCTCTGCCTTTGTATCAAATGAAATTCAGATATAGATCATGTATCCATGTTTGGGATTTTCAATCTTGGTTCCGTTGGCCACATTTTCAGGGTTCCAGTCAAAGCTTAGATGACAAACAAAAAGATTCAAACATGCCCTTACAAAGGCATGATCAACCCAAACAACACAATATTTATTAGTCTTATATACTAAGCAGTGGTGAAATTTTGGTGATAGAATTTGGGGTTTAATTTTAATTTAAAAAGTTTAGAGGTTTAAATTAAAAAATTAAAAGTTTTTGAAAATTTCAGTTTACATTTTCTCAAAAAAAAAAAGAGTATAATTAAAAATTTTAAAAAATTAAGAGGCTTAATGAGAATTTTTAAAATTATGGGAGGGTTTTAATTAAAAACATTCAAAAATTTTAAAGTTTAATATGAAATTTTTAAAATTTTGTGGGGATCAAATTTTTTTTTTTGAATATTTTAAAGGTTTAAAATTAAAATTTTCAAATTTCTGGGGGCATGGCCTCTACATGTCTCCACTTAGTTCGGTCATTAATACTAAGTTTTGTCAAATTTCTTTTTTTTGTTGCTAACTTTTGTGTTTAAATAGTTGTATTTGATAAAGTTCGTTCTTATAGTAAAAACAAGTAAATATTTGCCATTATTTATTGGGACACGAATGGCTCATGTACTTTGGTTTTGGTTCTAAAGTGGGATTTATACTCTTGAAATGTCCAATTTTAACACTTGAAATTTCATTTCTCCCGTTTGTTATTTGACTTATTTTCTTGGATAAAGTAAAAAAAATGTTTACTAAAAATAATCTTTTAAACATCAACCTTTTAAAATTATACTATTGCTGTTTTTTTAAAGTAGTTCGAAGTAATTATAAGATAATTTATGTTCATAATATTTTTTTATTCATTATAATGAACATATCCTACAAATGTAATTGTTCGAACTTATGACATTTATAAAGAATAACACTTTCTTTAATCATTAAGGTCACTTGATGAGTTCAATTATACCACTGATATTAAGTTTTTTATTTTGTTATAAAATTGATATTGATTTGTTACCGTCTTAAACAATGGTGTTGTATGTTAAAATTAAGTGTAAATTATATATTTATTTTTTTATCATTTAATTATTTTTTAGTTCATGCTTGATGTTAAATTTTATTTATATTTTGGTATCTCACCGTTAAAAAAGTTTAAAGACAATATTAACATGATTTTTTTTTCACATAATTTTTTCTCTCTTACTAAATAATTTTATTCAGATCACTAAAATTAAATTAAAAAGATGGGGAAGTATATAATCCTTGTAAGCCATAGTAATGTTCTTATACCAAAAAGGATATTGCAAAGGAAAGAGTGGTACTATTGATGCAGAGAAAAAAAGAGCATCAAACCCGATAGTCATCCAAAGGTATATAAGAACTTATCAAGTGGTCTCAGGGATTATGATACTTTAATATTGTTCTTTTTACATTAAATATACGTCTGCATGATGTGTGCATCCTTGTCAACGGTTAAGAAAAATTAAGAAAGATTCTAGATATATATTATCTTATAATCATCTTTGACTATTTAAAAAAATATTAATCTTATAATCCATCCTCACGTCACAATAAATTTGTTACATAATTATTACTTCATTGCATCATAACAACTTAAAACGATTTAGAAAACATGTCGTTTGATACATGATAAGAACATACTGACCTTAAAAATCATGGATTTCTCTGCATATATGGCTTAGTTCAATGGTTAAGAATAAGACTCCAAATTTGAGTCTCGTGCTTTTTCCTCTTTCTAATCATCTTATTGATTTGATATATAATATGATGAGTTTAAGATGTCATATTGGGCTGACGAAACAATCATCAAATTTGAAAAAAAAATTATTAGAATTCAAATCATAATATGGTATACCAATAATAACAACATCCATAACAATTATAAAATATTTATACAAAATAATAGTTCGTGACAATTTGATATAAATAAAAAAGAAACCAAATATCAAGTGAGCTTACAGACCAAAATATAAATACAGGTTCTATGAATACACATGCTATCTAACGTAAATAGTATTGTACTTTGATGAGACGATGCTCAAAATACTACCACAATGATACTCCTTGAACAAATCTATTTTACTAACTTGCAAACGAAAACATTGTAACGTTGAGCTTTATAAAGTTCAGTTATACACTTCTACTCTAGTATACTTCACATAATTCATAAATGTGAGCATGCTAGGTAGTATAAGTAGGGAGGAATAATTCTAAGCATGCAATATCATAAAAAAACTATCATGCTAGTCATCATCAATTACTACAACAAAATAGGTTTGTAGTAGCGGTTTTAGCAAAAAAAGGTCGCTATTTTATACATATAGCGGCGTTTTAGACAAACGCCATAATATAAATGATATATAGCAACGTTTTTGGGAAAATGCCATTAAAAACACGTACTTTAGTGGTGTTTGTGAAACAAACGCTGCTATAGACTGATATACGGTAGCATTTTTGAGAAAACGCCGCTAAAACCATGTAATTTAGTGGCGTTTGATACACAAAAGCCGCTATAGACTTATATGTAATGGCATTTTTGAACAAACGTCTCTATATACATGTACTTTAGTGGCGTTTGTGTAGCAAACGCCATAAATTGTTCATTCTTGAATTCCAATTCAGACATTGACACCCAAATTAAATCCCTTTCTCGATTGCCTCCTTAAAATAGCCCTTTGTTTTTCTTCTTCGTCATACGTTCTTCTTTGTTATTTGGATCGCACTCTGTTCCCGCTTAGTGGACAAGATCTTCTCCCCTTTTAGCTCCCACACACCCTTGCCCTCTTTCACCGAAGAGGAAAGAAGAATCTTCCAAGATCTAAATTTCCATTAGATTCATTTTGTTGCTTGCTTTGTTGCAGCAAGATGATTAGTCCGGGAGTGCTGGAGAGAAGAGAAAGCAGGAAAAACCTCTCTTCTTCGGTCATCGAGCAGTCAGACGAATCTTCAGTAATGCAGGATGACCCCTTCAACGCTTCTTTCGCTATATAGCCCCTCCATTCTATCATTCGAAAATAAAAAGAAAGGGTTCTCTCTTCGACCTACCGTTTTTCTATCTACTCGTAGCCCTCCGTCACATCGTAATTTATCTTTTCTCGTTTTCAAGTCGGGTTGTATTGGATCTGGAATCAAATGGTAGCTTCAAAGGCATTGTTCATTATGTTCTTTTAGAATTTTCTGTAAGTTCCTTTTTCCCTACTATTATATAGATCTTATTAATTGATTATTGTTTTTTCTGCCAAACCTAGATGGCTAATTTCATTTTGATAGTTTCTGAGCTCATTTTTTTATAATTTTTAATAGTTTTTAGATTAGGGTTTGTATCTATATTTTCCCCTTGATTTTCGACTGAATTTGCGTGTAAGATTTTCATGAATTTTATTGTGTCATATCGATGGCTTTGAAGCGATATTGATTGTAGAAGCAGTTCTATAGAATTGCATTGGATTAAAGAATATTGGTTTTCTATTTTCCAGTATTGGATTCCATTGTTTGTAACCTCATTGGTTGGGAATTCTTTAGTAAATTTACTCATTCCAACCAGTGTTGAAAATTCTTAATAATGCACCGAAAGTGCATGGCAAAAATTGTTTAAAAAATAATGAAATTTGTCAAAAAAAGGGGGCACCAAATGAAGGCTAGTCAAAAGGGGTTATTTTTGTTGAAATTTTAGTAAGGGGAAATTACCAAATTTAGTCCCTATACTTTAGAATATTTATAAGATTAGTCCTTAAGCTTTAACTATAAATAGCTTAACCCATTTAGCTTCAAAATCATCCCAAATCATTCTAGCTTTCTCCCAATACTAGAGGATTTACAGAGTTTTCTTGAGAGTTATTTTCTCCTTTTTATCAAGAGATAATTATCATTGTTTTCTCCTTATTAGATCGAGAGAAGTTGTAATTCCTATTTTCTCATAGTGAAATTCTTCTACCATTGCCTGTGATTTTTACCCTATATTATTTAGGTGTTTTCCACTTAAAATTTATTTATTCTTTATATTCATTTTTATTTTCTCAAATTATTAGTTGCGATTTTACTCTATCCGATAGCCGTATTCCGCAATAATTGGTATCAGAGCCAGATTAGAGTGTGTAATATCTACTTATTGTCTTTGTGGTTGCCACAAAAAGGTGGATCCTCCAACATAAGAAAGTAAGAAGGTATTACCCATTTTTTGAAGGTTCTAGAGAACTATTCACAATAGTGAAATAGTGGGAGCTATCCGTATTAGAAGCTATGGCAATGAAATTTGACAACATGAGGAAAGACGGTTGTCTAACAGCTATCAGTGAAAGGCCAGTAGATTTCACAGATGACAACAAATGGATAACGATAGACAGGAATGTTATGGAAAACTTTCATCTAGCATTAGCAGATGAAGTATTGTCAAGCATTGAGGAGAAAAAGACAACTAAGGAGATATGAGATCATCTCACCAAATTGTACGAGGTCACATCGTTGCACAATAAAATTTTCCTTAAAAGGAAATTGTATACTTTTCGGATGCCAAAATCTACTTCAGTGACGGAGCACTTAAACATACTGAACACTTTATTTTCTCAGCTTACATCCTTAAGATGTACAATAGGAGAACAAGAACGTACTGAACTTCTACTTCAAAGTATACCAGATTCGTATGATCAACTCATCATCAACTTGACAAACAATAATGTCACCAGTCTAGTCTTTGATGACGTTGCAGTTGTTGTTCTACAAGAAGAAAATCGGTGTAAGAACAAGGAAGACAGACAAGTAAATCTGCAACAAGCAGAAGCGTTAACAACAATGAGAGGGAGATCAATAGAACGTGGCCAAAACAACAGTCACAAACATGGTATATCAAAGTTGAGAAGCAAAAATAATTTAAAGTGCTATAACTGTGGAAAGAAAAGTCACTCGAAAAAGGATTATTGGAGTCTAGGTAAAAACTATAATCCATAAGGAAGTACCGCAAACACTTCAGATGATAGAGATGCTCTATGCTGTGAAGATTCAACCACCATGGAAGATAAAAAATGATTTGCAGATATATGGCTCATTGATTCACATATCACATGACCTTAAG